TTTTGAAATTTTACAGCGATACTATAAAAAAATTCTTATTATTATATTAAAAAACAAATGTTGCAATAGATTGCAAAAATAATATTTTTTAATCTTTTGCTAATACAATGGTAAAATATAAGAAAAAAATCATATCAGTCTAATTCACACTTATTTATTTATATATTAATATAACTAAATAGGCAATCAAAGAAAGCTACATAAAATATAGGAACAGAACAACATAAGTGATGCAGTTTCATAAAATATCGTTTCATAAAATATGTAGAAAATAGAGTTAAGTCCGTGACTAATCTTTGTATTAAATTACTATGTAATAAAAATTGAGATTAAAGATTGAAAATAGATCAAATAGAAATAAAAATTTCTTTCGTCTGTTTGGTTAATTTTTAATCTTCAATCCTTAATTTTAATCTTCCATAATCTAGGTTTTAAACTTACCTCAGATATGCACATATAAAAAATTAAATAAAATGTCATATCTTGATTAGGGTAATGCAATCTGTATAAATAACAATCTTATATGATTGTCAACTCTATACGATCAACTTATATCACAACTATTGAAAATAAGAGAATATCAATAAACAGATCCAGAAAAATTTGTATCTCTTCTTAAGATAAGGTATCTTAAGATAATTATTATAGAAGGATGCAATATTGCTGAGAGATTATCATTAAACTTTCTATTAAAACTAATAAAACTGAAAACTAAAAAACTAAAAACTAATAAAACTAAAACTATATAAAACTAGTAATCAAAACTTTGAAATAAAGAAACAACCTTAAAAGTCTATTTAAATAAACTTTTAACAATGTTTTTGTGTATTTCCCATTGCTGTTTCCATTTATTTTTCTTTTCTACTATTTTTTTTAACTCTCCGTTTTTCTCTATTTTCCTTCTCCTCCTGTTTATTTTTTTTAATATCTGTGATGAACGATTCTAAAATTGATTTCATTTTTTTCTTTGATTTTGATTTATTCGCTATTATTCTGTGATAAGGAAGATGAGTCTGAGATAGATTATCACTGCTGGCTATTGATTGCAGGTACTACCTTTTCTCCAAATATTGAATCCATAACACATAAAAAACCTAAGAACTTGAATGATTACCTAATTTTTTGTTGCTGTCACTTATATTTTTATACGTTCTTTTTAGCTCAGACATTTTATTTTGACACTGAGCAGCAGTGACATTGTAGTTTGCCTTTTTCATTTTAATGACAATTTGCATCCAATTTTATTGCATCCATATTATTATTACATTTCAGATGACAAAATCAGGTTCTTTATTTCGATAGATCTTCAGAAACAAAAGAATTGCTTGATCTGGCCAAACAAAAAGTTTTTTCCCAGCTTCGCTTGCTGTAGGTGTCGCTCTGCAAGTTTTTCTGGTTGATCATTTTGTAATTCTTCATTGATCATCGTCATACTTCGCCTCTCACTTTCTCAAGTCACCAAAAACTTTAGAATGTTCTCATCTGTCAGAATAAAGTAAGACTTTAATTATTTAAGACATTTTACGAAGAGTGAGTGTTATTCCAAAAAACAATATTTCTATTGGAATTCATATATACAGGGTGTCCCAAAACTCCCGCATTTGGAATACACTACGTGATTTTTTATGCTAAAAGAAACAACTTTTTCCTTTAGCAAAATTGCGTGCGACGAGTAGTTTTTACAATAAATTAAATTAAACGAATGAGCGCGTATATGTGCGTAGCGGTCACGGCCGCGTAGCGGTCACGGCGCGCGTTCTTTAGACCGATGCGGCCTGATATCTAATCTTTGACGACTTCATGTATTATATTATTTAAAATATGATAAAAGTTAACAAATAAGTATTGTTTTCATCCTTTAACGATTTCATAAAAAAATTGTCTGATTTCGTAGCATTATCTCGAAATAAAAATAAATGTAAATAATATGGTGTATGATCTGAGCATTTTATTATTTTAATTATTGCGCAATTGCATATAACAATAAAAAAAATAGTGAATTTAACGAATTATTTAGATTTCGTTAAATTTTTTGTTAATTTTATTTATTCGTTAATTTCTTTTTTTCGTTTAATTTATTTTTTAATTATTTTTTTATAATTATTTTTATTTTGAAAGATTTGCCATCAGAAGACACAGTAGTGTCTCGGGTGTCAAGTCAATCGAGAACTACCGTGTGACTTTACGCGAGTCGACGAGATGCGAACATCCGAAATTATCGAATCTCAATAACGGCTAAACTGATCAAGTTCTAAGTAGGCTTGATCCGATAGTTTGAGTCCGACTTGCATAATAAAAGTATTTTATTTTTCTGTTATGTACCCTACAAGCAGAGATATCACAAAGTCCGACTTGAAAATTTTTACTTTAAGAAACGTCATCATCGCCTTTGTACGGCTGCAACGTTTGTCACGAGATGTCATTATTAATCTTATCGACCCAGCGGATTATCAGACTGATAAGTCAGGGTTACTGTAGATCTAACGAATCAATGTTCGCAAGGTCCTAGACCTCTGTGGTGACTCTGACTTATTGGCCTGATTTATCCGTTGGGTAACGATAAGATTGATTGATTGATGTAAACATGGTGTGTTTTGTAAACCTCTTATCAATATAATAATAAATACGTGTGCATTGGAAAAGAAGCATTGGCAGTATTAATAAATTGCTTACTACTATTGCATAGTATGCTTACTCTTTTTCTGCACGTCCGAGTGATGGCCAACGATGTTGACGTTCGCGGCGAGTTTGACAGTTTATTGATAATTTGTTTCGGAGTGTAACTCATGTTTGTGTCTACTATATTTTGCAGGTAAGTTCTATTTTTCATTTTATTATTTTATTTTTACATGAACATTTCAATTCAATTTCAGATTCTTTTTTAACTAATCACGATTTTTATAAAATTTATAAACATTAATTTAATAGCAAAGATTAATGTTTAGAAGACTAGGAATCCAAGTTGAAAAAATTTTATAATTCTTTTATTTCTTTTTATGAAAATAAGATATTTATTTATTTTAATGTTTCTTCTTCTTGCAAGTTAAAATATATAAAAGTTACATTATTATTAATGTTTAACAAACGATATCCTAAAAGGCCAATCTATGTATGGTTGAATGAAATTTTCTAAATTAACGGTGAAATTAAAATATGACTTTAGATAGTATAAAAATATATATAAATGTTATCATTTTATTATATGAACATTTCAAGTTGATGTTATCTAGACATATTTATTCATATACATATCTATATAATATAAAATAATTAATTTTATCTAAGTATGGTTGAGAAAAAATGCTAAAATTATTTAATTATTAATTGAACGACAAAGAATAATGTTCAGAAAAACCATTTTACATAAATGTTTCAATTTGGATTTCGATTCTTTCTAATTGTTTCTGTAAGTTGTGTAATTATTTTATTTCTTTTTATAAAAAAAGATATTTATCCATTGTAACGTTTTTTTCCTCTTGCAGGTTTAAATAAAAATTATATAACAATTATCAATGTTCAAAAGAGATGTTAAATACTGTAAAAAGATCTAATATGTGTATACAAGAAAATAATGTTTAAAAGAGACATCAACAATATTCTAAAAGAACATGATATATATGGATGAATAAAATCTTCTAAATTAAGGGTGTTAAAATATTGACTTTCGATTCTTTGTAACTGTTTGTGTAGTTGTGTAATTAATTGATAAATTTTGTAATTCTTTTATTTTGTTTATAAAAAAAGTTTATTTATTTTAACGTTTCTTCTTCTTGCAAGTTTAAATAAAAATTACATAAAAATTATTAATGTTCAAAAAAGATGTCAAATAATACCCTAAAAGGATCTAGTATGTGTGTACAAGAAAACAATGTTTAAAAGAGACATAAACGATTTTAAAAGGACCTGTATGTATGTATGGGTGAATGAAATCTTTTAAATTAAGAGTGACATTAAAATATGGCTTTAGATGAGTATAAAAATATATGTAAATGTTCCCATTTTATTATATGAACATTTAAATTTGATGTTTTGTAGATTTCCCCACCACAGTTGGATAGAGCTAGTTGTTTTATATTATATGAATATGTATTTGAGTATGAATCTAGATAATATAAACCTGAAGTAATAAAAAGATATTCTTGGAGTTTTATCTGTTTGCATATTTTTATACAAATCATTAAAAAATACTAAAATTAGTTAATTAGTTGAAAAGAATCTGAAGTCGAACTGAAATCATGTAATAAAATGATAACACTTATATAATTTTATACTGATTTAAAACCATTTCATTTATACACATATATTAATTCCATTGAGGATATATCATTTATTTCGCTTTTGAACATTGATAACTTTCATGTAATTATTTACACAAAATTTACATAAAATTGTTTACATAAATATTTACATAAATATTTACATAAAAATAGTGAAATAAAAAAATTATCAATGTTCAAAAGAGATGTCAAATAATACCCTAAAAGGATCTAGTATGTGTGTACAAGAAAACGATGTTTAAAAGAGACAATATTTTAAAAGAAATGATACTCTAAAAAGGGCCTGATATGTATGGGTGAATGAAATCTTTTAAATTAAGGGCGACATTAAAATATGGTTTTAGATGATAAAAATATAAATGTTACTATTTTATTATATGAACATTTCAATTTGATGTTATCTAGATTCATATTTCTATACATATTTATATAAATATATAATATATATATAATAATATAAAATAACTAGCTTGTCTATTAATATCATATACATATCTATACAATACAAAATAACTAGTTTTGTCTAACTGTGATTGGGAAAAAATCCTAAAATTAATTAATTATTAATTGAACGACAAAGAATAAAGTTCAAAAGAATAGGAAGCAAGTTGAAATGTTAATATTAACATTATCATTTTAATTGTGTAATTGTGTAATGAATTGATAAATTTTATAATTTTTATGAAAAAAAGATATTTATTTATTGTAATGTTTCTTTCTATTGCAGGTTTAAAAGTTACATAAAAAGTATTAATGTTCAAAAGAGATGTTAAATAATATCTTAAAAGGATCTAATATGTGTGTTCAAGAAAACATGTTTATTAGTAATGTTTAAAAGACATAAATGATACTCTAAAAGGACCTGATATGGGTGAATGAAATCTTATAAATTAAGAGTGAAGTTAAAATATAGTTTTAGATGAATATAGAAATATGTATAAATTATCATTTTATTATATGAACACTTTAATTTAGATCATACATATTCATATATTGGTATAATATAAAACAACTAGCTTTATCTAACTGTAATGGGGAAAAAATGCTAAAATTAATTAATTAGGATTAATTGAACGGCAAAGGACAAGGTTAAGAAGAATACATATATTATATTTTACTGTAATATATATGAGTGTAAAAATATATAAACGTTAACATTTTATTACATGAACATTTCAATTTGACTTCAGATTTTTTCAACTAATTAACTAATTTT